GCATCTGACTAGATTAGTCAAATAACAAATTAGTTGAAAAAAAATTAAATAATCCTTAAAATTAGGATTTGTATTGGTCTGTAAGTGGAATAGAGGATATTTTTGTGTTTTTTCACAGAGGCTTTGATTGATTACATCGTGATTGGGTGGCACTGTGTGACTAAGAGAGAGAGAGAGAGAGAGAGAGAGAGAGAGAGAGAGAGAGAGAGAGAGAGAGAGAGTGGGAGAAAGTAGGCAACATGACGATGAATTTTTCATTCAAGCACCTCATGGTGATCATAAGACAAGAGCCGATACCATGTTAGTCTAAACTTTTGATACTGTGCAGAGTTTAACCCTTTGACAGCTTGAAAACAGATTGTCTCTCGGCACCACCCATAATTTGATAGGCTCTACATAGGAATTGGTAATTAAAATTTGAGCGAGTCTTTTATGTTAATCCCTGAATGGGCTCCACCGATAAGGACTGAATAATGATATATGGAAATTCTCTTTCTTTTACAGTGCTTGCTTTGACAGAGTATTATGATGGAAATCAGTGGTGATTCATGTGGGAGTGAGAGAAAAAACAGGGGAATCTCCTTGGTGATAACACACTCCCTCCCTCCCCCCTTCTCTCTCTGTCCAGCCCCAGAGTGACGAGGCAGTCCGCGTGTGTCTGAGGGAGAGGGGCCACGATGTGCTGGTTCTCCAGAGAATATCATCAGAGCAGCCAGCCCTCTCTGCAACAGCGAGGGGAGGAGGGAGAGTGGAGGCGAGGAACAGGAGGTAAGCCTCTCCAGTCCCCTCCTTCCTAGATTCCCTCCCTCTCTCTGTTTCTCTCCCTCAGCACTCTCCCTCTCATCATTCTCGTTCTCTGTCTCTCTGGATCACTCACTCGCACAGGCATGCTTACATCACAACTCCCAACACATAAATGACTACATTAAATACATATCAGTGAGCAGCGTGGGACTGTGAGGCAGACCTCTGCTATAGCTGCCTTCCCATTCAAGTAATTCAGGAGCTTTTTCAGCCGACCTCAGTGTGCTTGAGGGACAGACAGCAGTGGACTCCGGGCTGAAGCAGCTGCAGGTGGATGGATGGATGGATGGATGGGTAAAAGGGGCATGCAGAAGTAACCACGGCAACGTCGCCGGTGTGAGGGCACAGGGACTCTGCAAGGATGGGATCCCAGCCACAGCTCGTGAACCTGCTGCAGGAGGAGGGCAGGCTGCTGCATGCTGCCTTGGTAGAGCAGGAGGAGGACGAGGACGACGAGGGGGGCTCCGTGGAGAGCAGCAGTGACAGCACCGGCCGGGCAGAGCCGGTGACGATGCCCACCTTTGACGTCCCCTACTTTCGCTACATAGACGATGAGGGAACAGAAGGAGAGGAGGAATGGAGCAGCAGCCGCTCTCTGTCCTCTATTGAGGAGGACTCGTCCACTGACTCTGTTGTGTCTGACAGGTATATGGTGGTATCGGGGACGCCAGAGAAGATCCTGGAGCACTTGCTGTGTGACCTGACACTGGATGACAACCAGGGGACAACACCCAGCAAAGAGTCAGGTCAGCATGCATACTTTAAAGTCCTAAAACACCTTTCTCATCCATGTTGTCCTTACTGGGTTACATTTTCTTTTGTATTTTATAGAGCAACAATGAAAAATAGGGGAATATTTAGTTGGTGGATGGCACCTAGACAACTTTATGACTAAATTGTTTAGATGGTGTGCTGATGCAGGTCTACAGATATGTCTGTGTTTGTGAAAGATATAAGCAAAAGACAAAAATAACTCCCTTACTTTCCATTTCACTCTCTCCCCTCATCGTCCTCTCTCGCAGAGAAACTGAGTCAACAGCCTCCCTCTGGGCAATATTACTGGGCTAATCATGCGCTATCATTCCCAGAATGGCTCTAAGTTTGAGCCATTTAAAAGCCTTTGACAAAGATAAACGTTGCTCATATCTTTTGAGTAATGCCGTATCGGACATGCTATGCAGTTCAGCCTCACAGCGACGACAAATGAGCCCATTTCCTCTCGTCCCAGCAGGTACATAATAATGTGACACTGTTGCCAAGGCAGAGGAGACTCAGTTGATTGATCTGGAAAGATGTTTTGAGGGGAGACGACGATTGAGAGCAGTAGCGCAGTCAGACAAGCAGAGGAAGAATACAAGAGAGAAAGGAGAAACACTGTGTTGCAGAGAAAATGAGGAAACAAGGAGGGAAGAAAAAGGAGATTTTGCCTTGGAGATGGTCACAGATGATCTCTCATCGGGGTGGAGGCTGGCTAACAGAATATCAGAGATCATTACTCATTCTGATGAGAAAGTGAATGAAATTGATCTAAATGTCATCTGGGGAGACGTGCCAGCAGTTGGAAGATGGTGCATTTAACATGCACAGGAGAGTTATGTTTTATGTTGGATCACATATATTCATTGCTATAATTGAGTATTTAATATTGATTTAAAGTGAAACCTGAAGCTAAATTAGCAGACAAGTGGGTAAGACATCCCTATATAATCAGTTGGTGTATTCACAATAAACCCTAACCTTTTTAGCTAATGTTATTTGGTATGCAGTGTGTTTTTGATGAATCACTCACCATTAGCTCATCTTGCAATGAGTGCATTGAAGTGAAGCCTCCAAAGGAAGCTGTGGACCAGAGCAGGATGCTGCTGAGCGATATCCCAGGGTCAAAGAGCCGGAGACCTGAGGAGAAGGAATGAACTGAGTCCTGAACAGCAATTGATCTGCACTCAGTGATGTTTAATAGTCTGACTTTTGCTGGCCTTAGCTCTCTCTGTGTGTGCATACTGAAGCTCCGTATGCACTATTGCTATACTGCTGAGTGTGCCCTTGGAGGTTCAGCGCACCAGAAGCACGATAGCACAAGGTTCTTGAGTCATCAAAAAGAAATGTATTTGAACATACACCAAGTGGCCGTGTTTGGTCTTCCTCTCAAGGATGGCTCAGAGAGACAACATGACTGATGGTTGCAGCAGGTTATTGATGTTGTGTTTATGACTTGCATGCTGTACAGCACATTAGTAAGCCAATTGCATCTCATCATGGTAGCACTTGCTTCCATCTATACTCTGTACACAACATTAAGAATGCAGAGGTGCTTTCTGCAGAAGACGGCACTTTTCTGGAAGCACTACAGGCATGTAGTCTATATACAGTGTAGAGCTCTTATACGCTAACGTTTCCTTCTGTGGGCTAACATTCACAAGAGTTCAGTGTTGCCTTCTTCCTTGTGCCCAATCTCAGTGCAGCTATTGATTCTTGCTCTGTCCAAATTCTGCACACTGCCAGCTCTGAAAAAAATGTAAAGCAACATTTGTTTTCTTAATGAGAGGATGTTACAGCTCCTTTACTGATGCACCATGTGCGGAGATGTTGATGCTCATATGTAGTGAAGAAAGCATCACATTTAAGTGAGCGGATGTAAGATTAAAAAACGTCTAAATACAGACTATCATAGTAATTTAAGGCTTTTACACAAAGAGGATGTCTTCTGGTGCTTACTGAGCTAATAATTGACACATTAACACGCTTATTTCAAAGGCTGCAGCGATGAATTTTACGAGCACTTATTGAAATGCAAAAGTAATTGGCAGGTGGATCGACAGTAAGATTGATTTCACAGGAGATTGATATGGTGAATTAATGAATCCATTCTGCATTTCCTCTAAAAAGGAAATCAAATTCATTTTTGTCTTCAGTGCCAGAAAGCAGGATTCTGAGTACTAAACAGCAGTTTAGAATACTAGAAGTCTCCGATTTCTCCTACATCCACTTGTGTGTGATGTGTAGGAGTCACAAATTAGCCCAAAAGGCTGTGAAACATTATTTATACAGCACAATTCATGCATAACTGTTAGTGGGTCAACACATCTGCTGCAAAATTCTGGACTAAATCTACACTGCAGGACATTCCCTGCTTCTTTTGTGCTGTGTTACCAAAAAAAAAAAGACCTTGAGAATATGACTTTAGGTGGTAAAATTAAATATTTATTCTGTTTTTCAACTTCAAAAAACTTGCAGAGTACAGCCTGGGGAGTGGTATATAAGCTGTTACTCGTGAAAAAGTGTTTCAGTTTAGATAGCTTGAAGGAAAAAATACATAACAGAGTGAGTGAGTAGTGCTTTGTGAATGTGTGTGTGTGTGTGTGTGTGTGTGTGTGTGGAGGTACAGTACAGTACAGTACATCTTTTGTGTGTTGTTTTTCTGGCTTTGTGTCAAGGTGCGTTACTGTATTCTTTATGGGAGCTACATATGTACGAGTGTGTAACCTCTCATAAGCAGTGAGTGATGCATCCACAGCTGCTCTGCACGGATTAACATAATGATGTCAGGGAGTCCTGCGGACCAGAACGCACACAAAGGCCCAGGGAAGCCAGTGTGAAATTAAAGGGGAGAATTTACAATTCTGGGTATGAGGCACACTTACAGAGGGGTTGAGACAACGTTGGTTCTAATAGGATTTGTAAAGCTGTTCGCTTGTGGCCAGGCATCATGGACTTACTGTCCTTCTCTTTCTCTTTACACCTCAGAAAGTTATTTTAATGGCTTTTATGTCAATTTATGAAATGCATTTTTACAGCTTGCTGTAAAGTCCGGACAACAATTACTTTCTCTTTAATTAGAGATTCTGGGAGAAAGGGACTCTATATGTGATTTTGAAAAGAACTGATGAAATAAAGGGAGTGTTCTTTAGCCTTCAACGTGGTAAATAATTAATTGTTGTGATGATGTCGCTTGTAAGCGCATTGAATGTTACGTGAACTTATCAAAGTAAGCAGGTGATTTATTTGACCAGCTTTGATTTTAGTCCATTTCAGAAACACTTACCCAAGTGTAACTTTGGGAAGAAAATCATGCAAGGATACAGTGGTTGCTGGTAAACATAGAATGATGGTTAAGCAACATCTTTTTTTCTGTCTCCAAGTTAATCACAATGAAATCATAGACTTCATCAGAGGTCAGAGAGAGTCAACGGACACATGATTGACTTATCTTTACGGATACAGCCGGCAATGGCAAATGTGTGAGATTGAAGATAAAGCCACTAAATGCCTGTTTGAACTTGTTGGAGCAAAATGGAACAAACAAATCCTCAGTGGTTTCAGTACAAGCAATTGTCTGAGGCTGACTATGAAGAATAATATGCCATTGAAAGGTTTCTCACATTATGCTTGCCTCTGAAATGTCTCTACTTAGTGCTTGTTAACTGGTATTTGCTGCAAAGAATGGGCTCTCCTTCTGGTATTATTGAGATGGAAGGGGAAAAAATTGAAGTCAAGTCTCGGTATTGCCATCTCAATTAAGAGGTCAGGCCTACTCTATGTTTAGCTCAGCAAACATGAATCATACAGTTGTCAAGGTCACTGGTGTACCTGCTCTCCGGCATCCTGTAAACATAGTATAGAAACCTAATGAGACGGTGTATGTAGGATTTACTGTATACGATGGTCTGCACAGAATTTAAACTTGTTTTATGATTTTTCTCGTTTTTGAAACATCTTGTATGTTTTATAAATCAATTAAACGAGTAGCACTTGTACTATTTCTAAATTGATATTACTAGAAATTGTACCGTCTTTTTTTCCATTGTAAATATTGTGTTTGTCTTTACAGATACACTTCTGGATGATTTTCTGCTGACCTACCCAGTGTTCATGTCAACCAGTGACTTATGTCAAGCTCTGCTGGGGCAATATCCTTGAACACGGGGGTATTCACAGGAACATTACTGCAAAGATTCACACATTACAACCCTTTTTTTTTCTGTGAATGCTACAGGCAGATATAGATGTTTTATATGAAAACATGACTGCTTTATTGAGTCAAAGATGCTCCACTTCACTCAACTGTGTTCATCCAACATGTCTCTCTAGCTGCCTGTCCTTAAATCAACATCACACACACGCTGGCTTTATTCATGCTTCATGCTGCCTGCATTTGATGTCAGCAAATAGTTCTCGCTCTCCATCTGTGCTGAAGCCTTAACCAAAACCCACCTATTGCACCAAGCGATACAGAGGGAAAGAGGACAGGAAAGAGGCTCTGGAGAGGAAACGAAAAGTCCTGCACCTGGTGTCACAGTGGATGACCCTCTGTAAAGACTTCCTGAGGGAGGACGAGCATGTCAAACTGTTCATGAAGGTAAGGAATATAATGTACTAGGGAAACGGTGGAAATTGGCTGTGAGGTGGACTTAATATGGGAGAAATGAAAATTGACATTCCCTTCCAGACTTTGTATCGCTACGTGTTGGATGATCTCTATGAGCACCCGTTCCTGGAGAAGGATGTGAGGGAACTACAGAAACTGTACCAGCTGCATCGCAGACAGTGAGTGACCATATAACTTACTTTGTCACTACACGTCATTAGACAAGGGGTGATTCAATACTTACTTATGTAAATCATCTACAAAACAGGAAGACTGATGTACTGATGTATTTATTGATATCAAGTCTGAGTGTGTTCAAGAGTGAGTTCGACTATGACTGTTGGAGGCCTGACATGAAGCAGAGACACTAGCTGGTCACTGAGTGCAAAGAAAGAGCTGCTTCTCTGCTTGCCTTTATTTAGCCTCTCATCAATGAATGCATTCAGAGACTGAAGAGTAATTGCAGTGTTCTAGGTTGTTATGTACAGAAATATGAAGGTCAAAGAGTTCTTTATCTTGAATCTCCATGATTGAGGAAATACAGGAATTCTGAGAATTAATGACAAACTATCAGAAATATACAGAAGATCTGACAGGCAAGTGAGAGAAATAATTCTGATGATCCATTTTCAAAATGTGACAATTGTTTTAGCTCCTATGTTTGTGACTTAATAACAGGTGACAACAAGTTTTGCCTGGATAATCTTGCTCAGCTCCTTACGTTTTCATCATCTGTGAAACAGTTGGAAAGAAAAACTTTTGGCAGGGGATTTTTTTTATCAGGATCATTTTTGTGTTTGTTGTTGTAACAGAAATTATGACCACAAAAAGAATCTTGACAAAAAAAAAAACCTTCATAAGGAGAATGTGTATTGAGCACAACTTGACAAAAGCACAATATTATTAACATCCACATTTCTGCTATCAGTTAGATCCATTTAGTCATGGCGGGCCACCAACTTAGTTGCTAGTGCCAGAGCAATACCTGGCTTCTAGTTACGTTATGAGAAAAAGTTGTATCGATGCCTCACTAACAAGCAGACAGTATGACCACATTTTGACACAAATTCTGTCTTTGCAAGATGCAAATTGTATCCAAGTGCTTACACAGCCACAAAATAATGAATCAATGTCAAAAAGATATAATAGCAATCACCAAAAAGTAGTAGGTTACAGTAGCTTATTTACATCCACCCTTCTCTCAGTACAAACATTTGAAAATTAATTATATGTATTGACCATAACATTAGACAAGGAGTCTTAGCTTTGTAAATAATTCATGTATAGACAAGTGCTTCTTGAACATTATGTGTGCGTAATTGATGTACTTGATGTATACGTTAAACACTTTAAATCAAACAGATTTCTTCATCGACATCCAGCTGAGTCTTGAATATTAGATGTGTTTTGTGGTTATTAAAGTGGAACTGTTACTAAACTACAATTTTTTTTTGGTTTAATAAAAGTAGAAATCAGATTGCTCTCAGACACGACAGCGTAAACATCCCCCAGTCACCAGACACATTGCCACACCCATGTCCTCCTTCCCCTCCCTCAAACACAGCCTCCAAACAGATCTTCTCCCTGGGGACGCCCCAGCCTGCCACCCATTAGAAAGCAGTGGGGATAATTCAAGCCGACTCTGCTGCCATTATCTGGGCCTGCTTTATTCATTCTTATATGCAGGGAGGGAGATCCACAACACCCACTCCTTTAAAGCAGTGGACTTTGTGAGGCTGTTACTAACTGACATATTCGACTATTTATGAGCTTTTCACAATCAGTCTCACCCAGAGGGGAGGACAAGGTTGACTGCTTTGTGGCAATCTGCTACCGAGTGAGAAGCCTAAAAGTGTAATTTTTTATAGAAGGAATACTGATTTAGTTCTTTGCTCCCATCAACTTCCATCTGGCCTTTGCACAAAGGAAAGTTCAAGTCACTTGTTTCTGAAAGCTTAGGAATCAAATACCACTTGTTCTCTTGCACTCTCTCATCCTGTGGCATTATAATTCACAAAGTTCATTCACATATTTTGTTTTTGTGGTTTTTTTTATGAGCAAGAGAGTGAATTAGATCACAGGCTCTGTTTTGACGATACAGTAGTAATCAGGTTTTTCATTAGTGCAGGACTTCTGCTATCCAACGCCAAGGGATCCCTCAGGGCAGGCTTTGTGCCAACACGCCTATTGTGATGCAGAACCCAGTAAAAGCTGAGGGATGATAATGGACACAGGGCTATCCATCATGCTAGTCGAGAGTAACTGATGTGAATAAGGTGATTAAATGAAGGGATCACATTGGAAGGTCTAAAATCTACAAAGCACTCCAATTTCGCCTTGACACTGACCTTAGATAATGGACTGCAGCACACTCCAGAGGAGTATATATGTACATTTACTTCACCGTGATTATATAGACTGGTAAAGTTGTTTTTGTTCTTGACACAGCTGCAGCCGAAGGAAAATCACCAGATCAGCTTTTTAGGACAAAGTACAGTTACTGATTTATATCTTCTTCCTTTTCCAGTGCGGTGGATGAATATTCCCCTCAAAGAAAGGTGAGAGAGGAGTTATTGTGTTTGCTCTCTTTACGACACTAAAACAGAAAGAAACTTATTGAGCAAAGCTGGCTGCTCACTTTGACATACCAGATTGGGTGTTGCAGCTAATGTCCTCACATTTCCAGCTAAAGACATTTTCTGTTGTTCTAGCGAAACGCCCGCAGTGTTTCCAGGCAATATGAACATGTGTCAAAATCCACGCATTTCCCTTCTTTCAGGGCAAAGCCCTTTTCCACCAATTGAGTTTGAAAGAGAACGGGCTTCCGTCCAGAGGTACACAGAGGGAGACCAAAGAAGGTAAGTCGTAAAACGTGGTGTCCTTCACACATTCCTCCCATCATATGTTATTTCCAAAGCTGTTGAAGGGAGACCAGTAGAACAATGGGAATCTTTCCAGGGAAGTAATGAGAAGGTTCGGAAATGCAAATATCTGAGTCATGACTTCATTTTGTCAGTTTTTGGCAGGTTCACCCAATTTAAAGCAAACCGTTACCTTTCATGCTATCTGGCCAAACACACAGTTTTGACTTTAACTGCTGAGGTTTTGAGATATCCACCGTTCTAAAAATGAGTCACCACTGACTCCTTCCCTTAATCAAGACAAATCTATTGAGTATGCTTGTCCAACAGTAATGCCACACTACACAGTCCGCTACAGTTGATCACTGAGACCACTGGACCAGTTTCGATTCAGTTGCTTTGCCCAAGGTCATCTTATCAATAAGGGGCAGACTTGCTATATCCTTTCACTCCTGCAGTTTGAGAGATGGCAGCAGGTGACCTAATTAATTGGTTTCTTTCTGGCTGAAGGTGGTTGGTTGCTAAATGGTTAAACGCCCTGTTTGAGGAACAAAAACCTATCACAGCAAAACGGCAATTCCCAAGACTCCCAGGGGCCTCAAAATCCCAAGGGTCACTGATATATTGTATTGTTGATTATTTGAAAATGTCCGAAGAAATTTTCACCAATAAAATACAATATCTTTAAGGTGATTCCTGCATTAGGAGCTAGTATTGTGGCCTTGTGAAAGAATCTAGTTTCAATTTAGAAACCTGGTGCCATTTATAATTTATTACTTCAGCAACTGACAACTGATTTGTTTCTTGTTATATAATGAAGCTATCATGCTTAGTCTGCTGTGGGCACTGGAAGCTTGGGGCTGAAGGCGTACATGCACTATGAACAGAGCGATTTGGGTAGAGATGTTTTTGCCCCGGGGCTCCCTAACTGATAAATACGGCCATGGGCAGTGCTGCACTTCATGTAAGCACTGTGAATTCTGCATTTCATCTTACTGAAACAATATTTTCTCTCTGTTAAAGTGCTGTGTCACGTGTATATTACCATGGAGTCGTTCCTAAGTATGAGGGCCAATGCCGGGATAGTGGCCCAGGAGCTGCTGCAGGCAGTGGCAGAAAGGATGGAAGTCCCACTGGGGAAACTGGTGCTAGTGGCTGTCACTTACAATGAAGGTAATTACCATTCTAACTAACCAGCCTCAGTACATATCAACCACCACTACAGTCATTACAGCACTATACTACACTCACAATGGTAGCATTCTGAACAGAAAGGGAGAATTTGCACGTTTGATTATGTAAAAGCGTAAACGAGCGTGTATATCCTGGTGTTTGTAGATCGTGGTGGATTGAGAGACATGTGCCAACATTGTTTTTGATATTTATAGCCTATACAAATAACGTTCTGTTTAACACTATAATTCATAGATCAGAATGTGATTCTGAAGTGTCCTAAGTTATAATATATCCTATGCGAGTCAACACTATGTAGAAATTGAAAGTAAAAACTCAACATACCGCACTTTCATTTCTCACAGTATTTCATACTTAAAGTTTTTTTTCCTATATTGAGTTGTATATCAAAGCGCAGACATGAACGCAAGATTGTCATCAACAGAGCTGACTTAAATATCTCCCCAGTGACAACAGTTAAAAGGCAGAAGCATTTACAGTCCAGTAATATAAAGTCAGTATCTGTTATCAGTGACTGAAGTGACTGGCCACCTCAGAGTGGAGCCTGGCACAGCAAGTCTTATCTCTTGCTACTGATGGATGCTTACACGCTGCCTGACAGATTTTTAATGATATTCTGCTGTTTGTGATATGTCTTCTGCCCCTGCAGGTAGGCTCCTCCTGCAGCCTCAGGACAGAGTCTTCTCTGATTCTTTACGACCGGTTGGGAGACTGCATGTGTGCAGGAAGGATCTGGGTGAAGTCCTGGTAAGAACATCACTGCAATATGTCACTTCTACTTAAACATACTGCACGAAATAGTGTCCTCTGTTAGATCATACATACTTATTTCATACATCAGCTCAGAAGCGATGAATAAGACAACATGCAGCATTGTGATGTTATGTTATATTTCTTCAAAGCTCCACTGTCATATGAAAATAGCTAAAGAGGTGGTATGATGTCTAACGAAAAACTGGCTTGTCGTGTGTTTGATGCTGTTTTTCTTGTTTTCCGTATTCAGAACCCGTTCACAGATAACTCAGAACTGCAACAGAGAACGGCTCGCATGCTCAGTTTAAACACATGGGACGTGGCCGTTGCTCTCACCAACTTCGACTGGACCATCTTTGACTCAATACACGAGGTTTATACCCCGATACTTCATACTGCTAAAAAGGGTCAGGATCCGACATGACGTGTCTTTAGCATTGCGTGCCCTGCTCTGCTGAACTAGAATGTCTTTTCTTTTTTACACAGCAAGAACTCGTCTATTTCACCTTCAGCCGCCACAGTAGCAGTAGCCACACTGTGGCGTTGGAGCTGCTGCTGCAACGCTGCAATGAAGTCCAGCTGTGGGTGATGACTGAGGTGCTGCTGTGTCCAACGCTCTGCAAAAGGGTCCAACTCATCAAGAAGTTCATCAAGATTGCTGCCCAGTTAGTAGCTTTACGCACACCCTTCTTCATTTTGATCAGAGAGTTATTGATTGAAGTCGATCATATACGCTGGCTTTAGACACTGTGGGCCTACACTACTGCATTTCAACTCCAAAATATTTAGGGGATGTTCAGACTTGCATGGGGATGCTGCCCCCTCCAGTGGCAGATCAATAAACTGCATCTACTTTTGTGCTGTTGAGCTGTGCTGCTGCAAGAGACTGAACCGTGTGCTCCCTTGATCTTTTATAGCTGTAAAGCACAGAGGAATCTCAACTGCTTCTTTGCCATTATAATGGGCCTGAACACTGCAGCTGTTAGCCGCCTCGGTCAGACATGGGAGGTAAGGATGTGCTTTTATTATTATTCTACTCCTTTCATCTGTGCTACCTTTTATGTAGAAGTACATACTATCTGATAAAAAAAAAAAGTCCTGTTTGTTGTGCTTCTGCAGAAAATTCCTGGGAAATTCAAAAAGCTGTTTTCAGAGCTGGAGACGATTACAGTAAGTAGTTATTCACAGGCACAGATAGTGCATACTATACTGTATATATCTGTTTTTAAATGAAAATAAATGACATGAATCCACTGCAACAGGGAATACAAATCTGTGCTGAAACTGGTTTTAGATGATCATTAGTCTCTTATGATGCCATAATTCCACAAACAAATCATGCATGCATGGGCACACACTTTCATCCCCAGAGGATTACACTCATTTGTTTTGAAAATGTCTTCACAGGATCCCTCGCTGAACCACAAGGCCTACAGGGACTCCTTCAAGAAGATGAAGGCGCCAAAGATCCCATTCCCTCCTCTGCTACTGAAAGGTGTGTTCATTATTGTAGATATATGTAGATAGCAGACATTTTACCTCAAATACTTTGTTGGTGAAAACTAACAAAATGTTAAATCTGTTATAGATATTACGTTCATTCACGAAGGCAACAAAACGTTTCAGGACAACCTGGTCAATTTCGAAAAGCTGGTGAGTCCAGGAACTCTTTATGCTTCTTCACAGAAGACATACAGTAGTGCTGAATTTGTAATGTTTACTGAAGCATGTGTCCATCTATATTCCCAGCACATGATAGCAGACACAGTGCGTCTCATCCGGCAGTGTCAGAAAGATCACATGGGTCAGTACTCACTCTTTCCTCATTTCATGAGAGATAAACCAATATTTTTAAGTTTACTTTGTAATTCTACTCATAATCGGTGCCGTAGTATCAGTCTTTGCAAGACAAATAAACAAATCTGTTGACTACACTTTCTTCATATAGTTTAAATCAGGTTAAATTTCCTTACCATGATGTTGACAATCACTTAATTTTTCATTATAAAAACAGTTTTGGCTGGGTTTCCCCTCCACAAAATCCCTGCATGTCATATGGAGAAAGAAAAGTTAGTTGTAATGGCTTTTACACAGCATTCAATATGATATTTCTTTACCAGGCCATTAATAACGTGATATGAGTATGTTGACAATGTACAGTGCACGTTCATTTAGTATGTGTCCCTTTATACAAAGTGCAGATGCAGTAGTTGTCCTGGATGCTGCTGCCTTCGCTCAGAGGTAAACGATTTTCTTTCCCTGCAGGTAATGGCATCACCCAGAAGAGCAGCTCAGAAGTGCGAGCCTACATTGATTACCTGCATATCATCGACAATCAGCAGACTCTGTTTGAACTGTCACACAGGCTGGAGCCTCGTGCTTAGAGAGCAGCTCTTACTGCACTTCCCACTGTGTCAGCCATGCCGTTGGATTGCCAAGAAACAATCTATCGCTGTCTCATCTATCTCTCAGGACTCACTCAGCAATCAGAGGACGGTGCATGATCCTGGCTGACCACAGGAGGGAGCCGCTCAATCAGGAAACTCTCACCAGGGATGGGAACAAGCAGACAAAGGTTAAATGCATAAATGTTTGCATAGATCCACAACAATGTCACTGATCCAAAACACCTGATAGCAGACCTGCCTATTCCACCAACTTATGCTGACTGGTGGTAAGAAAAAAATATGGATGTCTTGATCCGCAGGTCCAAATCTGCTGCTGCTATTACTACACTGTTGCACAGATGGCAGACGTTGGCAGAGCTGTTCCAACAATGACACAACAGCTCCCCCCTGTGGAGAATAAGCAGCCTGCAATAAGAGTCTGTTTGCAGGTTAAGTGCTTCCCACCTAAAATAAAGATACAGAAAATGAATGTTCAAACAAACAAAGTGTTGGGCATGGAAGTTCATTCCGGACATTGACAACAGTATGTTTGACAAGAAGGTCCACCGACTAGCCTTTCCAGAGATTTTAACCACATAAATCACATCACACAAAGTGATTGAGATGGAGGTTAACTCATGATACTGTACAACTTTTTGTATTTGTGGTGTTGAAAGATCTGGCAGCTGGGGTTGTTTCATCTGAGTTAACCAAAGAGTACATTGGTCCTATATATTGTAAACATACTTCTGTTTTCGTCAGAGTGCGACAAGATCCAGTCGAAGACATGCACACACTACTAAATCAGTACAGTGTATGCAAAACAGCTGAATCACATGACAGAGAAAGTGAAAATGATTGTTAAATATTTAACATTGTCATATATTATTTTCATCTTCTATTTTTACATTGCAGAGTTCTCTTACCGTACAGTTTTCTATTGTTTAACCATGAAGTCTATCAGAAGAGGCATTCATTCAATTCATTAGAGCGGGACATTAAGTAAGAATACAAGTATACTGAATATCTGTGGTGTGTGGCAAATGTTGTGTTTGCTGTCTGAATTATAATCACGTATGTTAGTGCCAAATACCATTACAAAATAGAAACGCCTATTCAAAGTAATGCTAATTGCTCATCTTTTTAAAAACTTAAGGATCTCCATCTAGTTGAGCTGTGGACAATCAGTTAAAAGGAAGCAGAAGACCCTGATACATCTGTATTGGTCTTTAAAGTTCAGGTTGAAATACAGTGCATTTTGCCACACAGATAGTGTTTGATTCGTTGAGGTTTGGGGAGGTTGGCTTTAGCTGTGTCGTACTCACCAGAAATTGGCATTTGAAAAACTCGGCAACAGCATGTCTTTCCAAAAAACAAAGACATGGTGACTCACAACAACCCACGAACTGTCACAGAAAGTAAAGAGCAATAGCAAAAACAACTATTACAGCACCTTCCAGACAAAAAAATGAGAGAAAGAAAAATAGAAGCCATTTGCTTATGTAAAGTGTGTATTAACAATCCTGTATACGACAGTATTGTTTGTAGTTATAGAAGATACCGTACAGTATTTATCCTCTAGAGTTGTCAACTGAAAACTCTCACCCTGAGGTTAGAAGTGTTGTCGATGGATTACGTTCTTGAAATTGAATTTCTATATTTCGGATGTTAAAGCCCATAGTGAACATGGAGAGAGAAATGCTTTAGCAGTATGCATCTTTTCTTTGTATCAACAACAATGTACGGTTGATTCTATTTATACTGTGTATGTATACGTGTTGAAATTCAGGATATGGATATTGATTTATTTCAGAATTATTTATTTGTTCTACAGACATTACTTTTATTAGTCCAGTTTGATTTCATGTTTTTTTTGTACGCACCGATTGGCTGGTCTGCATGATATGGCAAACCGTGGATTGACCGGCAGTGTCAACTGTGCATGCAATAAAATATTTTTCATCATCATAAGTTGGTTATTGTCAAAGATATATATTTACATGTATATGGTGGTGGGAACATTCATTTTAAACAAGGAAATTCAAATTCAAACTCTTACATCTGACATTATAGCAAATATTAAAATTATAGCAGTACTGGTTATCGTAAATTCGGACTGATTGTGCGGTCCATGCTTGGGTTGTGGTTTTTAACATAGTTAAAGGATCAAACAGACATCACTTGATAAAAAAAGTGCATGTAGGAAACCACAAACAACTGATTTAGTAATAACACAAAGGAAAAAGAAGGGCCATTGAATGCAGAAGAGTGACAGTTTAATATGCTCCATATGTGCACAAACAGGCAGAAAAAGTACATAAAGACATGGAGCTAGTCTGTATCGCTTCGTGTTTCAAGCTTGCCATCAAGCATAATTCATTTTCTTACTTTTTTGCATTCAAGGGCTCCGATCTTTTCTTTTTTTGTCAGAAAAGTATATTCATAACCAGCTTTCAACATTAAATGGGTTCATCGGCCCTATAATTAAATATCAGACCATCTCGGTCTCCACTGAAGCTTCACTGCCTCTCTGTGGCCGCATGAGTATGATACAGTTTTTGTAAATGTATTTGTTAACCATTGAAATGCCTTTAATTATTTTGGTATATATTGTTTTACATGGCATATTCTACAACATTGTGCTTAATCAAGTTACCATAAACAACTAATACATTCACAAAGCATAAAGAGTGGGAAAAATAGGGTGGTTGGTCTTCAGGGGCCCACAGCTCATTTATTTGCCACGGGGCCCCCCTAGTGGCTTAATCAGGCCCTGATGAAGCAAAATTAGTCTTTAAGTAGAAACGTACTGTTCTAAAATTGCAACTGATTTTAGTTATATTTTTCATTTATTCATAGTATTGTAGGCAACTCGGCTAGGTCTTACATTTTCCTGTACATCAAAATATAACAGCTCCAGACCTGTACTGTCACTGCACAGTATTTCCCTGGATGAGAACCTGCTTCTCACATAATCAGTGATTTACAAATGAAAAAAAATGTGGGGTCTCTGTCAAACATTTCGGATAACAAAACCATCTGTACACAATGTCTTTCTAGGATACTATGAGGCGGAGGTGTGACCCAGATGCCCTTAATGACTTTAACCAGGTGTCCTGCTTGGCCTTCAACGTGACTATCTGTGGCACGACTCCTGCTGCGCCGGGCCCTGTACCCTGCCATTTCCTCCCAAACACTGCCAGCACTGTATCATTTTCCTGTCACCAAATGACTGGCTAGCTGCTGTGGCGCGCTAATGAGAGGAAGAGAGGGCAGATGAAGAGAAAGTACAGGAAGACTGGTTCTTCATTTCCCCCATGCAATACAATACACAGAATCAATCCTCCATCCTCTACATGACTGTCTGCAGCCACTTTGGTTGCAGGGAGAAATTAAGAGCAACACAGCCGTTATTAGCGTTGGAGAAAATCTCATTTGAGAAGATAAGAGTGCTGATTTCTATCCGAAAAGAAACAAAAAAACAGAATGGCTGTAATTTGTACATCATATGTCACTTGTTTATCTCAGCAGATATATATATTGCACCTGCCCTGTCTCTTCCTGGGCAAATTTCCGCTAATATCCAAAGGTCCCTGCTCTGACACAGTGTGTTTACTAATGTTAAGAATAATGAACGCCCCAAAACTGCATCAGAAAAGCTTGTTTTTAATGAATAGATGTTAAATGAAGGCTAGATATATGTTTTTTCCCCTTGTGTTGTTCTGTGCTGTATGATCCCAGCCTTTACTCTGGAGCTCCCCCAATATTTTACCATAGCTGTGACACACAAGGGACTTAACAGCATATGAATTATGCACAACTCATTCAGTACGCATGCATTATCACAGTCAAACTTTAATCTGAACATCTTCTCAGTTTTCATTAACCTCAATTAAATCAGTTGACAGTAGATAACATTTTAGATAAAACAACAGTGTTTCTTTCGACTCATTCAAAGTTAAAGGTTTTATTTGGTTTGTGTTAAGTCAATCAGATGCTAACAGAGAGTGCAGACAGATAAAGGATGAGTCGTCTAATGTGTTGCTTTCTCATAGAAAGCTATCAGTGTGGTTGAATAGGTTTCTTTAACAGGCCCGGCTGAATGAATTACACTCATCTGTTAGTATTCTGCCTCTGCCGTACAAAAGGTCAATGTCAAATGCACCTCATTTAAAAGTCAATAGCGACCATGCACATCATCTCCTGGGAATTCTGTCCGGGAACCCTCCAGACGGCATTGTGTATCATTCAGTTAGAAGAGGGCAGCCAGAGAGCTTTTTTAATCTTGACCTTCCAATAAAATATGCTCCCAAACCAGAATTACATGGTCTAAAATAGAGACATAAGCTCCCAACAAATCATGACCAGACTGAACCATCTCAAGGGAGAGGTTCAACAGTGTCCGACACAGACACAACAGGTTCAGCACTGGCTGAACATGCATCTCCACTTCCTTATTTCCATTATCTTGATATCTAAAACACACACGCATTCATACACTGCAATGTCAGTATTGTCATATATGAACCAAATTGGATACAGCAATATGAATGCAACATTAAAACTGAATAATTCTGTCAAAAAAAACATGATAAAAAGCAAAATGAATGCAACAAATGATTCAATACTATCTCAATGGTAAAATACTGCTCCTCTAAAAAATGTTTTTAACACTGTTTGCAGAATACTGTCAATAGATATTAGGGGTGTCGCCATATACAGGTATTGAAGATAACCGTGATATTAACAAAATTAAATATTGACATCATGTTAATTATACCGTATGATAATGCCCCACACACACATGAGCAAAGATTCATTTTCCAAAACACAGAATAAACAAAGTTAAAGTAAAAGAAAATTTCACTGATAGCATTATTATAATTGTTATTTAAAGATTTTCCCTTGAAATAGCAATTCTGATTCTGATTGTGAATTGTTTTGGCCGTGATAATAGTGTAGTAAAAATCTGACATCATGTCAGCCCTAGTAGATATTACAAATACCTAACTCCCGCTCCTCTAATGTCTCACACAGACAGCAACAGTGCAACTCCAGCTACAATCCACTTGGCAGGAGGCTGTTTGGTTCGGAGGTGGAGGGTCCATATATATGTGGCCCCACGCTGCTTAGTGCAGTATACTGGACACTCGTAAGTATTCTTGAGCTCCTGCTCATCAGCAGGCACGGCTCTAACATACAGCACTGGCATGGCGGGAGTCAGATCCCTCAAAACCGCCTCGGAGATGACTCCTGACTGGGTGTCCCAACGTGCTCCTACGAGACACAGAGTGGGTTTGTCGATACTTACAGAGATGCATATTTTACCAACACGGGTTTCAAAGTACTGTCAAAAATCGATGTAACTTAATTGAGTACAACTGGATACAGTGGAGGTTAGATTTAATTATTCTGACCTTCCATGAAGAGTCCGTGAATATAGGCCCCCTCCCGTGGTGGATGTCCAAAGTCATCTTTTGTCTTCTTTGTTACATCCACAGTCAGAGTCATCTTGTCCAGGGCCCACTGATTCTTGCGAGCAATGCTCTGCATAACAGCTGGAAAAAAAGACAGCATGTTAATATATCTGCTGGCTCTGGTGCACATGTCCCCTAAATCATTGGATTGTGATCTCACCAGTGAGGAAAGACTGTGGGTAGAAGAGTCCTGAGAGCCAAACAACTGCAGGAAGAACCAAGTCTTGAGTCCAGCTGTCCAACTCCCGACAGCTACACATTATATCAGTAAACCTTGATAAAACAAATATCAAACAACAATCAACAACATGGTATGTCATTGCTTGAAACCTTTACAATGAGTCGGCAAGGCTCATCCTAACATTGGCTTCATGTTTGACATTTTTACAAATCCTCCTTGCTACAATAAAATGCAGAGTGTGACGGGGAAACACGATAAGCAAAAATAAAAAGGAGATATTAAAGGCCAAGTTGAGTAAAAATACAATATTATTAGAAAGGAGCAATTACCATTGGGCTAGTGTTTTAGTGGAGGGATAAGCCAATCTGGCCCAGGAATCAGGAACGGAGTCATTGAACATTGCTGACTGCAGAGTCTCCATACTGGAGGAGATGGTGAGTTCTCCCTATGGACAAACAAATCCTCATTCATTTTATAGGATCTTACTTAAAAAAAAATGTGTTTTATACATTTAGTATATGTCACAGTAGACTGCACCTTCAGGCCAAGATCCAGCACATTAAGGGACTTCCTTATTTCTGCTAGCAGAAGATTCATGCGCTCACACTCCTGGAAACAGACTAAAATGTAGGGGCTTCGCTCTGTTGTCTTTGTGGATATCTCTGCCATGTTATACTCCTCAGGAAGCTTGTCAAGAATATCTTGAATGACAAACTTGACCTGAAAAATATAATATGCATAGTTAGGTTATTTATGTAGGTATAGGTTGATGTATTCTCAGCTGCTTTTTCCCCCCAGTAATGATTCTTTCTGCCTCCAAACCTTCTCCTCTGTGCTCTGAACTGCCCCTTCCCCTCTGGAGGAGTCCTGTGGCTGCAGTTCCAGAAGAGTCCTTAGGAGGTTGTCTGAAGTGACAGTGAGGCACTCAAGCTCAGCATTTGGATGTAGACCATACAGAGTGGGATTCTCAGATGGGACATGTTCGTCAATATAACTGTGGTAACCACTGTAGTCCAAGAATGGAGGTGATAGGAACCCAGGACACAGAAAGAGCTCCCCTTCAAACTAAGAATTGAAATATAAAGAATACAAAGATGAAAATACATACAGCGCACAATTTAACGTAAAGCAAAACATGGTGACGACGACTAATATCCAACGTAAACCACCCTCACAAATCTTGCAAGCGAAACTTAGCCTGTGTTTGAGAATACAATATGATGAACAGTAATACAAGCCTTTTGCTGCACAAACAGTAAAACACATTGACTGAGTCTGATTGGAGGAACAGTAGCTGTTTGGTAGTAAAGGTTAACTGGCAGAGGGCTGATCAGTCCTTTTTGAGAGAAAAAACTGATGAATTCTAACTGAAGCATATATCAACAACACATGCAGAAGAATAAATACCTAATAATGCTTATAGTGGAGTGTCATGCAGCAGCTGGCAGACAAATATGGCACACAGAGAGATTACATCACCAAAGTGAGGGTGGAAAAATCAACAATGCCAAAGAAGTGCAATGCTGCAGTTTAGGTTTACATCCCAAGAGGGCCCCCTTTACCTGAACAACACCAAGCAATTCAAAACTAATTTGTAGATTTTCTTAACTATTTGACACAGTAAAATTAAATGCAACAAGTTGTTGAGTGTACAGTATAAGCAACTTGACAAGTGGGGCTTTTTCTTATCTTGAAAAAATTGAACAATAAAACCAGTTCAAATGTAATTCTATTGCAATAGTTGTGTTTAAACTAAACACAAAAAAGAGAAAAAACAAATAGATTCCTCGAACATGGCAACATGAACACTGACTTACCATTTTTGGATGCATGAACTGTTGTAGATAAGTCTTACACAGTCTTCTATCCCAGCCATCCGTAATGTGTCCTCCATACATGATCTCCCCAAAAAGATAACACAGGTCCTCCCAGGGCACCTGCATGGACTATAATATACGTGGTCTGTAGGCTGATATGACAATGCAAATA